GGGCAACAGAGCAAGACTCCGTTTCAAAAAATAGAAATGATAAACCCTCCCCCCAAAATAAGTGATACAAAAAGTGGGAAAATCCACATAAGGCCTGTAGTTTGGTTAATAGCACTATATCAGTGTGAGTTTCCTGGTTTGATAATATACCATGGTTGTAGAAGATACCACGTATAGCAGCATACCTGGGAACTCCGTGTATTATTTTTACAACTCTTAAGAGTCTTAAACTACTTCAAAATAAAAAGCCTCCAAAGAAAAGAATTGAGAAGAGATGACAGAAGTAACAGCTGTGGACAGATCAGCCTGGGCAACATAGCAAGACCCTGTCTCTTAAAAAAAAAAAAAAATTGTTTTTTAATTACCTGGGCACAGCTCTGAACTCTGTGGTTCCAGCCCCCTTGCTGACTGGGAAAGCTGACCACCTGACAATTGTCCCCCACCCAATGAAAGGAAAATAGAAAGCTCTCAGCAGAAACCCAGTGGCGCCTGATTACTGCAGAGCGGTTGTTCGCTGGAAATGAAGCCAGCAAGGCAGCCACCCTGCTCTGCACACACCCACAGCTTCCAGCTGGCAGTGATGGGCTTCACTCCGAAATCTGAACTGACTGTCAGGGATCACCAGATGTGTGAGGACAGTAACACAAAAGACAGGTATATCAAACAATGAAAGGTAGTAGGGAGATGATATGGGAACTGGAATAAAACACACCAAAAAATTATAATTCATTCAGACAGGAGAAGCTACTGCATCTATAAAACAAGAACAGGAGGGTGCTTCTAAAAAGAAGCAATCAAAAGACTGGGTGTGGTGGCTCACACCTATAGTCCCAGCACTTTGGGAGGACAAGGTGGGCAGATTGCTTGAGCTCAGGAGTTCTAGACCAGCCTGAGTGTCATGGTGAAATGTTGTCTCTACCAAAAATACAAAAAGTTAGCCAGGCATGGTGGCACATACCTGTGATCCCAGCTACTTGGGAGGCTGGGGCAGGAGGATCACTTGAGCCTGGGAGGTTGTAGTAAGCCAAAATCACACCACTGCACTCCAGCCTGGGTGACAGAGCAAAACTCCATCTCAAAAAAACAAAAATAAAAAGCAATCAAGAAACATGAACATGCTCTTAGAAATTAAAAATATATCAAAAAATAGAATTGGAACATAAAGTTGAGGATATCTGTTAGAGTTGTAGAACAAAAATACACAAAGTGGAAAATCAAAAATGATTATAAACCCAGGATATATAAAATCTTCATCAGAGTTCCAGAAAGAATGAAGAGACAAGAAATAGGAACGATATTTGGACTTGAAGGGCATAATTTTCCACATGGCTAGGGGTCCCACTGAGTATCCAGTAAAATAAATGGAAAAAAACAAAACAAAAAAACTAATTTAGGGAGAGATCGTGGTGCAATTAATTACAGAACACAGGAATAGAGAGGCTTCCAGAAATAAGCTTAAAAAAAAAAAGAAGTCACATAGGAGGAACCGACAACTGACTTCAACAGCAGACCCAGATGCTAAAGACAGTGGAATAATACCTATTTTTTTTTTTTTTTCCATGAGACAAGGTCTCACTCTGTCACCCAAACTGGAATGAAGTGATACAATCACAGCTCACTGAAGCCTCAACCTCCTGGACTCAAGTGATCCTGCCACCTCTGCCTCCCAAGGAGCTGGGACCACAGGCACAAGCCATCACAGCTGGCTAATGTTAATTTTTTGTAATGATGGGGGTCTCACTGTGTTGCCCAGGTTGGTCTCAAACTCCTGAACTCAAGCAGTCCTCCCACTTCAGCCTCCCACAGTTCTGGGATTACCAGCGTGAACCACCATACCTGACCAAATGATATCGTAAAACTTCTAAGGAAAATAGTTTCAGTCTACACTGCTCTACTCAGCACAATAGCAAACAAATGTCAAGGTAAAGGTAATTTCAGACACATGGGGACTCATTTACCTCTCATGCATCAGTTCTTAGATCATTTTTGGAGAGTAATCTCCCTTTTGAAGAAAGAGGAAGACGTGGACCTGGCTAACGAACTCTGCCACAGGCCACCAGAACAGTGCTAGGTCAACAGTGACAGTCAAGCCTGACTGAGCAGGACGGTGGAGAGTCCTTGGAGGAAGACTGGGGTAAACAACAGCATGAGAGATTAGCTGAGAGCTTTGTACATTTGAAAAATAGTATTGATAGGCCTCAGCCAAGTCTAATACAGCATGGGGACAAATTTAACACAGGTAAACAGAAAACTAGGCAAAGGTGGGGGGGTGGGCAGAATGAAACAGTTGTCCATCCCAGGAAAAACAGCAAGGCTTTACCAAGAAAGGAAACCATCACCCTTATGACAAAGTCATAATGAACACCGACTATTGATTCATCAGGAAATTGCCTTCTAATTACATAGAAAGTCCACTGGAAGCCCAGGCGCAGTGGCTCACGCCTATAATCCCAGCACTTTGGGAGGCCAAGACAGGTGGATCACAAGGTCAGGAGTTCTCGACCAGCCTGGCCAACATGGTGAAACCTCATCTCTACTAAAAATACAAAAATTAGCTGGACATGGTGGCGGGCACCTGTAATCCCAGCTACTCGGGAGGCTGAGGCAGGAGAATTGCTTGAACCTGGGAGGTGGAAGTTGCGGTGAACCAAGATCATGCCAATGCATTCCAGCCTGGGCAACAGAGTGAGACTCCATCTTAAAAAAAAAAAAAAAAAAGAACACTGGAAAGGAAGAGTGAGAGGTATAAAGACCTAAAGCCCCGTCTACTGTAGAAGGAATCCAGAGTTACTCTCCAATATTGAGAAATCAAGAATATTTTTAAAAAAGAATATTCAAAACTTAGCAATAAATACAAAAATAGGAGTGTAGTTGAAAGTGCTCTTGGGAGTAAGACCAGGGGTTATGGAAAGGTCGAGGCATGGGTTGTTTTTTTGTTATCATTGTTTGATAAAAATAAGGGTTGTCGCCGGGCGCGGTGGCTCACGCCTGTAATCCGAGCACTTTGGGAGGCCGAGGCGGGTGGATCATGAGGTCAAGAGATCGAGACCATCCTGGTCAACATGGTGAAACCCCGTCTCTACTAAAAATACAAAAAATCAGCTGGGCATGGTGGCACGTGCCTGTAATCCCAGCTACTCAGGAGGCTGAGGCAGGAGAATTGCCTGAACCCAGGAGGCGGAGGCTGCGGTGAGCCGAGATCACGCCATTGCACTCCAGCCTGGGTAACAAGAGCGAAACTCCGTCTCAAAAAAAAAAAAAAATAAATAAGGGTTGTCATGTTTTCTCTCTCTTCCTGATTCATTTATTCTGAAGGGTATGTATGTAAAGCACCTGCCTCTTTGAATATTGGGTAGTTGTTCATTCTTTTTATTATCTGGTATTTATAAATGGAGTATGCATTTGGGTAGGGAGTCGATGAGACTTGCTTGAATGGTGTATTTGGGATGATGAATATCATGAAGCTTATCGTTCCTAGATGGAATAAATACATACAGTTGCCACGTGTTCTGAGTCATGAAGTCTGGGTACCGTAGGAATGGTTTATTTTCTGTACTTCAAAGTTAGGGTGTTTTAAAACTTAGATCAACATCCTAAATAGTTGCTTGTCTTATACCTGTCCTAGCATTCATCTTTATGACTTTCTAGTGATACAGGAATAGCACGTGTTAAAATGAAAACTGGACACTGGCTGCACTGTGAAATCCATGAGAGGGAAATTGCCTTTTCATCCTTAGCTGTGTGCACAGGGCCTGGGCCACGGTAGTTACTTCACAAGTCCTTGGCAAATAAACTAATCACTAGAAAAACTCCAGGGAGGCTAGGCGCAGTGGCTCACACGTGTAATCCTAGCACTTTGGGAGGCCGAGGTGGACAGATCACCTGAAGTCAGGAGTTTGAGACCAGCCTGGCCAACATGGCGAAACCCTGTCTCTACTAAAAATACAAAAATTAGCCAGGTGTCGTGGCAGGCGCCTGTAAACCCAGCTACTCGCAAGGCTGAGGCAGGAGAATCGCTTCAACCTGGGAGGCAGTGGTTGCAGTAAGCCAAGATCGCACCACTACACTCCAGCTTGGGTGACAGAGTGGGACTCTGTCTCAAAAAAAAAAAAGAAAAGAAAAGAAAAATTCCAGGGACACCCGGAAAGAAGTTTCCAGGCAGGCCTGTGTCCTAGGGCCAGCAACAATGTGCCATCAACGCCCACACCCCCATAATTAGGCACAGTAAAAACAAAATCTCCTGGAAATTTCTATTCAATTGATAACCAAAACATTGCCTTTATACTTAAGTAAAAGTGGCTGATCCTGCACAGGTGTTCCTTAAAACTAGAACAACAACCATTAACAATCTACTCTAACCCAGGAGGATGCCCGGCCCACAGTCCCACAGTCCCTGCAGAGTATGGTAGAGACATGAATGTCTGCTGCCTGCTCCATTTATAGCAGATTCTAGGGAGCCCCTTGGGCAACTGAGAACTGCCAGGGTTATGGGCACCTTGCTGCCCGAGAGCTCTGTTCCATCAGGTAAGGGAATAGTATTCTTCATGATTTTTAAATCAGCAGGCTGGGCACGGTGGCTCATGCCTGAAATCCCAGCTGTCTGGGAGGCCGAGTCAGGCAGATCACGAGGTCAAGAGATGGAGACCAGCCTGGCCAACATGGTGAAATCTGGTCTCTTCTAAAAACACAAAATTTAGCGGGCATGGTGGTGCATGCCTGTAATCCCAGCTACTCAGGAGGCTGTGGCAGGAGAATCACTTGAACCCGAGAGGCAGAGATTGCAATGAGCCAAGATTGTGCCACTCCAGCCTGGCAACAGAGCAAGACTCCATCTCCAAAAAAAAAAATAAATAAAACAAAATCAGTGTTCATTACTTTGTAGACTGTGCTATTAATCATCCTTAGTTCTCCTGGTCCACACAGCGACAAAATCTGAAAATGACTTGGTTTATTGTTTGTTTATTTTATTAATTAGTGTGTTGTGTTTGTTTGTTTGTCAGAATGTTATGGAACAGTTCAATCCTGGGCTTCGAAATTTGATAAACCTAGGGAAAAATTATGAGAAAGCCGTAAATGGTAAGTCTGTTTTCCTGAATTGATACTCAGTAAATATTTAATTATTTTTAAATGCTTAGGATTGAAGTTTTAAATACCTCTAAATGGTAAAAATTGTTTAAATGAATTTAATCTGCAGAACTTTGCAATGACAGTACACAGTGATGTTAGCGTATTTGAAACGTCACTTGAATGATAGTGAGGCTACTATAAGTGACGTATTTTAATTGTCAAACCGTGCTTTCTACTTTTTAAACCAAATTCTTGGTAAACTAACAACAAATATAAAATGTGTACATAAGACATTTATAAGTTAATTCCCTACAGCACAGAAATTACTCTCTTTTTATTTATATAAAAGAATTTCTTGGCTGGGTGCGGTGGCTCACACCTGTAATCCCAGCACTTTGGGAGGCCGAGGCGGGGGGATCACCTGAGGTCAGGAGTTTGAGACCAGCCTGGCCAACATGAAGAAACCCCGTCTTTACTACAAAAATAAAATTAGCCGGTACTGGTGGCCCAGCTACTCAGGAAGCTGAGGAAGATAAGTGCTTGAACCCGGGAGGTGGAGGTTGCAGTGAGCCGAGATTACACCATTGCACTCCAGCCTGGACAACAAGAGTGAAACTCTGTCGCAAAAAAAAAAAAAAAAAAAAAAAAAAAATCAGCGATCCCCTTAAAAACTTAAAATGCTAGCAATCACCAAATTCTAACATGCTCAAGACAGGTCTCCCCCAAAATGTACCAAGTATCACCCAAACACATTTAGACCCTAGTTTCACCCTCTGCCACGGTTCACTAAGACTACCAAGTAACATAAGTAGAAAATGTAGATTCTGGCTGGGCATGGTGGCTCATGCCTGTAATCCCAACAATCTGGGAGGCTGAGGCGTGTGAACTCCTGAGGTCGGGAGTTCGAGACCAGCCTGACCAACTTGGAGAAATACAAAATTAGTCAGGTGTGGTGGCACATGCCTGTAATCCCAGCTGCTCAGGAGGCTGAGGTAAGAGAATCACTTGAACCCTGGAGGCAGAGGTTGTGGTGAGCCGATATCTTACCACTGCACTCCAGCCTGCGTAACAAGAGTGAAACTCCATCTCAGGAAAAAGATAAAAGAAAATGTAGTTTCTGACAGATTTGAAGGTGGCTTCAGATCAAGTTTTACATCTTTTACTTATCTTTCTTTCCCCCCTCCCTCCCTCTAGCTCTCCCTTTCCCCCCTTCTCTTTTTCTCTCTTTCTCTCTCTTCTCTTTTTCTCTTTTCTTTCTCTTCTCTTTCCTGCTCTCTCCCTCCCTCACCCCCTCCTCCTCTGTCTCTTTCCCTCTGTCTCCCTCTTTCTTTTCTTTTTCTTTCTCTTCCTTCCTCTTTTCTTTCTTTTCTCTTTCTCTTTCTTTCCCTCCTTCCTCCCTCCATCTTCCCCCCTCCCTCCCTCCCCTCTTCCTTCCTTCCTTCCTTCCTTTCTTTCTCTCTCTCTCTCTTTCTTTCTTTCTTTCTTTTTTCTCTTTCTTTTCTCTTTTCTTTTCTTTCCTAAGTTCAAACAATTCTCCTGCTTCAGCCTCTTGAGTAGCTGGGATTACAGCCATGCACCACCATGCCCAGCCACTTTTTGTATTTTTAGCAGAGACAGGTTTTCACCATGTTGGCCAGTCTGCTCTGAATCTCCTGACCTCTGATAATCCACCCACCTCAGCCTCCCAAAGTTCTGGGATGACAGGCATGAGCCACCGTGTCAGGCCTCTTATTTCTCTTTTTTGCCATATTACACCTTTGGTTGCTCCCTGTTGATATTTTGAAAATAAACCTGTGGCCTCACACATGCTCAGCATGAACCTGCCCAGGAAGCGGGGGTGAGCTGGCTAGACTGTGGACTCTGGGTGAGCAGGCGCACCATTGTGTGTAGTCACTGGAAAAGCAAACTGCTCATTTACTGTCTTCTGCCTCCCTTTGCTTTTGGGCACTTCAGCAGCAGGAAGTGCAGCAGGTCTGGGAGTTTTCTCCCTTGCTCTCCAGGAGTCCCCGTGACTTCTGCAGGTGCCCCCGTCCTCCAGAGAGCCAGAGCTGTGCACTGCTGACTCTCCCTCGAAGATTGCTTAGTCACAAGGCCACAAAGTCATTGCTTTAGATGTCCTTGTGAAGGACATCACTGTGACCTGCAGTTTTGTTTTTTTTCCTTTCTTTCTATCATGAGCTGCCTCCCTGAGGCAGAGTTTTACAAGGTGAGTCGGTGAGGTGCCTACAGCTTAGTTTCCTGCCAACAAGCCTTCTTCCCAAAGGGCTCTCACCATTTTAGCACCTCCTGGGGAGTATTCTGCACTTCAGAAAATATTTCCAGAATTTCTGCAGGCCATCTGGTTGTGCCTCTGCTGAAGCCATTGAAAAATCTAGGTAAATGTGTAACGTCCTTGGTGAGAATTTGGAAATAGTTGAGGCAGCCAGATGTGCAGTCCCCAGTTAGGTTAGAACACCAGGCAGGCTGGGCGTGGTGGGCTCATGCCTGGAATCCCAGCACTTTGGGAGACCAAGGCAGGAGGATAGCTTCAGCCCAGGAGTTCGAGACCCTATCTCTACAAAAAAATTTAAAAAATAGCTCAGGTCAGGAGTGGTAGCTAATGTCTGTAATCTCAGCACTTTGGGAGGCTGAGGCGGGCAGATCACCTGAGGTTGGGAGTTCGATACCAGCCTGGCCAACATGGTGAAACCCTGTCTTGGCTAAAAATATTAGCTGGGCGTGGTGAAACGTGCCTATAGTCCCAGCTACTCAGGAGGCTAAGGCTTGAGAATCACTTGAAGCCAGGAGGTAGAGGTTGCAATGAGCCAAGATCGTGCCACTGCACTCCAGCCTGGGCAACAGAGCGAGACTGCCTCAAAAAAAAAAAAAAAAAAATCAGCTGGGCATGGTGGCATGCGCCTGTGGCTCTAGCTATCAGGAGGCTGAGGTGGGAGGATTACTTGAGTCCAGAAGTTCGAGGCTACAATGAGCTGTGATTGTACCACTGCACATCAGCCTGGGGAACAGAGCAAGACCTTGTCTCAAATAAATTAAACTAAATTAAAATTTTAAAAAAAGGAACCCAGGTAAACAGGTGAATGGCTAGGAGCATTGTACAGACCAGAGTCACAATAATATGAGTGGTGTGGGTTGGTGTGTACTGGAGGCCCTGCAGGAGCTGAGCTAGCTGACAGATGCTAAGTTTCAGCAGGCACACATAAAAGACAGCAAGTAAGCCAGGACCTGGGGTCCATGCTGGCATGGGTGGCACACTGTTGGGGAGTGGGTGGGGTAGGGTCAGATCCCTTATGCACTTGAATGCACACATCAGAGCTTGTCATATGCTGTGTCAGTCAGGCTGCACAAATCACTGCCTGCAAACCTGGTGGCTTCAGACAGCAACAGCTTCTTCTTTCTCCTGTAAGGGCAGGGCAGTTTCCAGACCCTCGGGACTCCCTCCTGCACCAGCAGTCTTCTGGGGCCTGTGAGGGGCTATGGATTGGATGCACTCTCCCCATGGGGTCTTTCCCCTTCAAGGAGGCCAGACTCGGTCCTCATTCAGTAGCGGTGGCATCCTAAGAATATAAGCCCCAGTGCCCAGCACCTCTCAAGCCCCTGCGGGAGTCATGCCTGTTGATAACCTGTGGGTCAAAGCAGGTCCCATGGCCACACCACCTGGGTGGGGACCACATAGGCTGGGAATTCTGGGAGGTGTGATTCCTGGAAGGGCATTACTGTAATAATCTACCATGGGCTTACCTCATGGACAGTGAGAGGCCACCAAAGGCTTTGAGCAGAACGTTCACCCAATGAAACCATATTTTAAGGAAAAAATATATAAGAAGCACATAGATTAGTCTAGACCTGTGAAGTATTTGGCCAACCACTAACATAGAACTAGGCCAGGTACGGTGGCTCATGCCTGTAATGCCAGCACTTTGGGAGGCTGAGGTGTGAGGATCGCTTGAACCTAGGTGTTCAAGACCAGCCTGGGCAACATAATGAGACCCTGTTTCTAGAAAAACTAAAAAATCAGCCAGGTGTGGTGGCATGAGGGAGGATCGCTGAAGTCCAGGAGGTTGAGGCTGTGGTGAGCTATGATCCTACCACTGCACTCCAGCTTGGGCAACAGAGTGAGACCCTGACTCTTAAAATATATATATATATACACACACACACACACACACACACACACACACACACACACACACACACATACACGTGTATGTATATATATATATATATATATAACTAATATGCTTCTTTCCTTAAAACAATAAGCAGTTTTGAGATGAAGCCTTGCTCTATCACCCAGGCTGGAGTGCAGTGACACAATTTGGGTTCACTGCAACCCCCACCTCCCGGGTTCAAGCAATTCTCCTGCCTCAGCCTCCTAAGTAGCTGGGACTACAGGCACATACCACCATTCCCAGCTACGTTTTATACTTTTAGTAGAGATGTGGTTTCACCATATTGGTCAGGCTGGTCTTAAGCTCCTAATCTCGTGATCCACCCACCTCTGCCTCCCAAAGTGCTGGGATTACAGGCATGAGCCACCATGCCCCGCCGAAAATATCTTAATGTGTCCACAAAAGGGGAACAAAATTATGAAAGTATTATTATTTATCTCTTCAGGCTAAATTTTATAATTTTCAAGTTAACTTTATCGTAATAGCAAAGATATTTTACAAGACCAAGAAGGTTACATAGTTTTAAATGTAAGTCAACAATTAATGAAAAAATTTGATTTAATGTGTGGATGCAAATCAAAAATTTTCTTTAAGTATTATGTAATCCTGCATGCCATTCCCCCTTAATTTGCTTTTCAGATTATCAGTACTTTCCAGCTTAAAATCTTCACACTAAGATGTTACATCTTATAACTTGACAGTTTACTGGCTACACACCTTGTGTTTAGGGGAGTCACTTCTTCGTTCTAGCTGAGACCAAAGAGTCAGATAGCACCATCGTTTAGAGCTGAGGAAGTGAAGCGCCCAGCCAGAGATGTGTGCTTTCCTTCCCGCTGACCCAACATTGAACTTGGGCACGTCCCAGAATGTCTCCACTCCACTGCCCTTAGTGTGACAGGCTGATGACGTTACTACCCACGTCTTAATATCGTTGGGTAGATTAACTAAGTACATATATAAATGCTCATTGCTACTGTTCTTTCTGCAGTTACACTTTAAGGTTATTCTGAGTCTTAGTACAGTAGAGCATTGCATTTCGTAAAGTTGTTATATCTGTAGAGTAAAAATCATAACTTTTATAATTTTCCTATCGTTGCCAAAAAGCAAAAAAAAAGTAGTAGTTTTTTGCCAGAAAAAAATGCTAATCTTTTGGCTTTTCATACCTTCAGCTGGACGTGCACATGAATTAATTCTGTGGCTCACCACTAAAATCCCAGCACTTTGGTAGAGGCTCAGGCAGGAGGATCGCTTGAGTCCAGGAGTGCAAGACTAGCCTGGGCAACAGAGAGGGACCCCAACTCTAAAAAAAAAAAAAAATTTTTTTTTCTTTTGAGACAGAGGATCTCACTCTGTTGCCCAGGCTGGAGTACCGTGGTACAACTGTGGTTCGCTGCAGCCGTGGCCTTCCCGGCTCAAGCGATTCTCCCACTTCAGCTTCCTGAGTAGCTGGGACTATAGGCATTTACCACCACCACCATGCCTGGCTAGATTTTTTGTTTGTTTGTTTTTAATAGAGATGGGGTCTCCCTATGTTGCCCAGGCTGATCTCGAACTCTTGGGCTCAAGTGATCCTCCCTCCTCAACCTCCCAAAATGCTGGGAATAAAGGTATAAGCCACCGCACCCACCCTCCTCAACTTTTTTTTTTTTTAATTACTGAGGAATGGTGGCATGTGCCTGTAGTCCCAGCTACTCGGGAGACTGAGGCAGAGGTATCAGGTGAGCCTTCTGATCCCTTGAGCCCAGGAGGTTGAGGCTGCAGTGAGCCATGATCGATCATGCCACTGCACTCCAGCCTGGGTGAAAGAACAAGACCCTGCCTCTCAAAAAAACTAAAATAAAATCCACCACGTTAAAACAATTGCCCATTATACATTGGGGCATGGTAGCTGGTGTGGCCTCTAGGATTCCTGAGGGCACTTTTAGCTCCAAAACACTGTGGTCTCCAAAGCTCCAGGGGAAACTGATTTCTAGGTCTGAAAACAAACTTAGAGTAAAATTCCAAATAAATGCTTTTCTCCAAATTTACATTTAGCAGGCTGGGTCTGTATCATACCTTCAAGCCCCTCAAACCTAGACTGTAAAGTGAAAAAAATGTGTTAGCAGCTTCCATTTGTTCATTTATTGCTCACATTCTTAGGGCATTTTAAGGATGAGCAACCTTTGTTCAGAAAGGATAAGTAATTTGCCCCAGGAGGTCACGTAGTTATAATTTAGTCTTCAGAATTAGTTTGAAGGGGGCAATATTATTTTTAAGATAATCAGAACCCACTGTGTAGCAATAAAATTTTTTCCTGTCTTTGCCAAAAAAGAAAAGAGCATTCAATTTATTTTTTTGTTTTTTGTTTTATTTTGAGACAGAGTCTCACTCTGACACCCAGGCTGGACTGCAACCTCCACCTCCTGGGTTCAGGCGATTCTCCATCTTCAACCTCCTGAGTAGCTGAGACTACAGGCACATACCACCACACCTGGCTAACTTTTTGTATTTTTAATAGAGATGGGGTTTCACTGTGTTACCCAGTATGTTCTCAATCTTCTGACTTTGTGATCCACCCACCTCAGCCTTTCAGAGTGCTGGGATTACAGACCTGAGCCACTGCACCCGGCCTATTTTTATTTTTGAGACAAGATCTGGCTCTGTCACCCAGGCTAGCATGCAGTGGCATGATCTTGGCTCAGTGCAACCTCTGCATCCTAGACTCAAGAGGTCCTCTCACCTCAGCCTCCCCAGTAGCTGGGACTGCAGTCACATGCCACCATGCCCGGCTAATTTATGTATTTTTTGTAGGGGCAGGGTTTGACCATGTTGCCCAGGCTGGTCTCAAACTCTTGAGCTCAAGCAATCCTCCCACCTCAGCCTTCAAAAGTGCCAGGATTACAAGTGTGAGCTGCCATGCCCAGCCAAATCCCTAGTTCAATGTCAGAACACAGTTTCAGAGTGGTCTGAAACTGGCGTCAGGAGCAAGCAGAACCTTCTGTGGACTTTGAGCACCTGCTGCTGAAGGTTCCTCGGGGCTGGTCAGAGACGAGGATCTGTCTCATGGGGCTGTCCCTTTGGTGGGGACCTTGACCCTGGCATGCTCTCAGTGCAGGCCTTACCTCCTGAGAGCCACATTTACCATGGCCTGAGCCTTCCTGCAGCCAGAAGGGACTGAGGGGTGTTTGGAAGCAAACCCGTGTGGCTTCCTCCTTTCCTTGTCTAAGTGACAGTTTTGTGTGTCACCTTTCGTGTCTAGCTATGATCCTGGCAGGAAAAGCCTACTATGACGGAGTGGCCAAGATTGGTGAGATTGCCACCGGGTCCCCCGTGTCGACTGAACTGGGTGAGTATCTGTCCCTGTATACATAAAGCCCACTCACCATCCTGTGAACCCTGATACAAAGGCATGGGATGGCACAGTTCAGAACAGAGCGGAGAGTGGGGCCAGCACGCTGCAATTCTGTTTCTTTGCAGTCTGTGGAAATGGAGGCTTGGAGGGTGGGCCGGGGCTGGTGCTGGAGGGCGAGTGGAGGCCTTGTTTTCTGGCTAGCCTCCCAGCTCTCCTAGGAACTTGAGCTTCTGCCTGGGGTGTCTGGGCTCTCAACCTTCCCACGGGAGTTTGACCTACATTCCTGATGGGCAAGCCGGGCCTCCTGGGGCCTCGGACTGTGGCCGGAGTGTTTCTTGTGACTCACCTACCAGAAAATCCAACTCCTTGACGTTGCTCTCTTGGCCCCTGCTTCTTTCCTGGTTGCTTTCAGCTGTGATTTTTCCGGTTCTGCTGGTATGAATCGCTCTCCTGTGCAGGCAGAGAGGGCGGTCACACCCTGGGCAGTGCCCGCTGCTGAGGGGATCTGGGCTTCTGTGTATAGAGCCCTTCACTGTCGGGGGGAGAGGGGGACTTTTAAAACAGCCCCACACAGCACCCTCATTTAAAACACGTGTTGAATGTATTTTATTGTACAAAGGGTAAGATTTTTGGCTTAGCAACAATCACCATAATTTGAAAGGCTCTGAAAACTGGAGGAAAATAATGATACAGTGTGTGTGTGTTTAAAGAAAAATACATCCATGCCCAGTTAAAAAGTAGGAAGGGGAAGCAGAGGAGGGGGCGGGTATCACCAGAGGAAGGTGCGGGCAAGTCACACGGTTTCTCCACGGAGTCGTCCTGAGGGTTTTCAGGATTGTTTGGGAAGCTCTTAACTGACGCATAAAAGACGAGGAGAAAAGGAGAGGCCTGACAGCGGAGCTAGGCTCTTGGGAGCAGAGGGATCTGGGTCCTCACAGCTCTGAGGACTTTGCACTTGCGTTTATACTTGAGTTTACAAAGCCATAGGCACACGGTAGATCATATGCCGGAAGTGATGTCCTGTTAGTGAATAACTCAGTACTGTGAGAGAGAGTTATATATATTTTTATATATGTATTTTTTTTTATTGAGACAGAGTTTCTGTCGCCCACGCTGGAGTGCAGTGGCATGACCTCGGCTCACTGCAAGCTCTGCTGCCCAGGTTCAGGTGATTCTCCTGCCTCAGCCTCCCAAGTAGCTGGGACTACAGATGCACGCCACGCCTGGCTAATTTTTTTTTATTTTTAGTAGAAATGGGGTTTTACCATGTTGGCCAGGCTGGTCCCGAACTCCTGACCTCAGGTGATCCTCCTGCCTCAGCCTCCTAAAGTGTTGGGATTACAATCGTGAGCCACCATGCCCAGCCCCCCCCCCCCCCCCACACACACACACGTGTGTGTGTGTGTATTTTTTTTTTTTTGTAGAGATGGGGGTCTCTCTATGTTGGCCAGGTTGGCCTTGAACTCTTGGCCTCAAGCAATCCCCCCCCACCTTGGCTTCTCAGAATGCTGGGATGATTGGCCTCATCCAGCCCGGTACTGCTATATTTAATAGACTCATTTACATGCAGAAAATTTTCAGAGTCCTGCCTGTGCCCCAGTTGGTACCATAATCCCTCATGTGCCAGTGAGAACGGAATCATAGTAATTATGTTCCAAGCACAATGAATTTAATAAAATACAGAGACTGCCAGATGTAGACAGAAGCAGGATATTGGGGGGAGTTGTTGAGATGATTATAAGCTTCCAAAAATAGCATGAATAAAAAGAAACCTCCTATTGGTGTCATGCGTCAGAAAGAAAACATGTGTGACCCTTACATTAAAACATATGGTGCTTCGACTCACCGCACCCAGTTTGCCTTTTTAATGTTTTATGGTTCCTGCCACTGTTTAAATAAGACTTCTGTTCCACACCTTACTTGAGTCAGCCGTGAGTTCCTAATGTTGAAACAGCTATTTCCACAGCAACAATGTTGTTATTAAACACAACACAGGTTTAGAACTTTCATTTCAGTGAGGAAAATATTTTGCGATGCTGAAATTTCTTTGATGTGCGTGCGTATATATATATATATATATATATTTTTTTTTTTTTTTTTTTTTTTTTTTTTTGAGATAGAGTCTCACTCTGTCACCCAGGCTGGAGTGCAGTGGTGCAATCTGAGCTCACTGCAGCCTCTGCCTCCTGAGTTCAACCAATTCTCGTGCCTCAGCCTCCCGAGTAGCCTGGATTACAGGTGCCCACTACCATACCCAGCTAATTTTCATAATTTTAGTAGAGATGGGGTTTTACCATGTTAGCCAGGCTGGTCTTGAACTCCTGACCTCAGGGGATCGCCCACCTCCACCTCCCAAAGTTCTGGGATTACAGACGTGAGCCACTGTGCCTGGCCACTTGTATGTATGTATTTTATTCAGAGGGAACAGAAATAACTTTCTGTTTTGTTTTGTTTCAAGCTGACCTCTTGCTTAATATTTGCTATCTCATGTAGTTACTGGTTTTTCTTCTCGTTTCTAACAATTCCATGGGACAATGATATATCAGGAAGAGTTACTTTTGGAGGCCTCCTGTTAACTTCCTTGACTGGCTCCATTTTTATTTTGTTATTGATACAGTTGAGACTAAAATGCCACCCCATATCTGTTTAAATTCCCGGTATGGAAGAGTTGTGGACAATTCATAGAAAAAAAAAGACCAAAGGTAGATTGTATTCTTCTCATCTTCCAAGAAGATTTTATTGTCTAGTTACTGTGTTTCATTCAGTATTTGGTATTCACAACTTCCTCATGAAACTTAAAACTCTCATATGAGAAAACTCAAAGGGGTGTGAGTTTCACATGTATGAAGATCATTAATCATTTCAAAATGTTCATTCCATGTGCCTTAAGGGTTGGCCTCTGTTACAGCAGCACCATTTCCAACGTCTAGCTGTGGATACTTCCGCTTAGATATCTCCCTCCTGGCATCAGTTCACTCATTGCTGTGTGAATAACACAGGATGCTTTTGCCCAAAAGTGAAAAAATGCCCAATGAACAGTGACTTACACAATCAGTGTCTTTATTATTCCACATGAGGAGCAGCGGGCTATCAGTTAATCATCGCTAGGGACCCAGGTCTGTCTTCTCATCCCCATCCTCATTTCCTCATGGTACCAGGATGGCTGCCAATGCTTGCCCAACCATCACATCCTGTCTCTCCCCATTGTCTCCAAAGGCAGGAGGGGTAATTTCTTCTCAGGTGTGCCGGCAACCTTTGCCCCAAAGCTCCAGCTCACAGCCCTTTATGCCCCATGGTCCAATTTAGATCACATGCACAGGACCCAGTGGCCAGCAAAGCTCCCCAGGCATGGGCCAAGGAACACCAGGGCAGAGAGGGCATGGCTGTTAGGAGATGGCCTGGTGACAGCCCCTAGATCAGCATCTCTGGTATTCAAGGTCTGTTTTCAACAACTTTCATTGAAAGGGCAGGACTGATAGAACTGTTAGCGGTGCCCTGGGTGTACATGGTGCTCCCACGTTTTGTGTGTGTCTGAGTGGAGCAATAATCTTCTCCCTCGTGGGCTGGTGTGTGGTTTTACCAGCATGCTTATACTTCACACTTCATAATTGCAGCTGGGCACAGTGGTTCAGGCCTGTAACCCCAGCACTTTGGGAGGCTAAGGAGGGTGGATGACCTGAGGTCAGGAGTTTAAGACCAGCCTGGCCAACATGGTAAAACCTCATCTCTAATAAAAATAAAAAAAACTAGCTGGGTGTGGTGGCGCACACCTGTAATCCCAGCTACTTGAAAGGCTGAGACAGGAGAATCACTTGAACCCAGGAGGTCGAGGTTGTGATATGCCAAGATCGTGCCACTGCACTCCAGCCTGGGCGACAGAGTGAGACTCTTCTCAAAACAAAAAATCTTGTAATTGCCCAGGCTGATCTTGAATTCCTGGACTCAAGCAATCTGCCTGCCTCAGCCTCCTAAAGTTCTGGGATTACCACCCAGCCACTATGCCCAGCTGTGAGTATGTTCTTATATAGTGTGCCTACAAATGTCTGAACTACTTTTTCCCATATGTGGTTTAAGACTGCCCACCTTTACAAGATAGCAGTAGTGACAGCAAACCTTGGGTACCTGCTGTGAACCGGGTGAGGGACCAGGCCAGTATTGTATGTGTTTCATGGCCAAGTTCTCTCAGCAGACCTGTGAGTCAGGTTCAGGTGTCCATGCTGTTTTACAGGCCCCACAGCGAAGCTACCTGCCCTGGGTCACACAATTAATTGAACTGTGCTTCAGCTTTAAAATCTGATTTTTTTCAACTCTGTCATCCTGCGATTCACTGATGCAAAAGAAACAGGAAAGAGCCAGCCCAGAAGGGGCCCCTGAAGAGGAAGAATATGCGACCCCCACAATGGGATCTTTTTCTTTTATTTTTTTGAGACAGAGTCTCGCTTTGTTGCCCAGGCTAGTGTGCAATGGCGTGATCTCAGCTTACGGAAACCTTTGCCTCCCGGGTTCAAGCAATTCTCCTGCCTCAGACTCCCGAGTAGCTGGGATTATAGGTGCACGCCACCACATCTGGCTAATTTTGTATATTTTCTTTTTAGTAGAGATGGGGTTTTACCATATTGGCCAGGCTAGTCTCGAACTCCTGACTTTGGGTGATCCACCCACCTTGACTTCCCAAAGTGCTGGGATTACAGGTGTATACCACCACACCCAGCCTGACCAGGACCTTTTCAAGCAAGAGATGAGAGGTGATTGTTAGTGTTTGAGTGGCTGGCAGGTGTCATGTTTAGTGGTCACAGTTCCCCTGGAAGTGGTGGTTTCATTGGTGTTCTCACCATAAATGCCAGGAGTTACGGGATAAGGATGATGGAAATCACAGCGGAGTAGTGTGTGCGTGGCCCTTCTTAGAAGTATTGCTCAGCTCACTGGGCGCAGTGGCTCACGCTTGTAATCCCAGTACTTTGGGAGGCCGAGGCAGACAGATCATGAGGTCAGGA